AAACTATTTACCCATACCTTTAATGCTACATACCCATACCATGAAAGAAAACGGGAAAACAGTCTTTTAAGCTGTACCCTACACAAAATCAATCAATCAATCATTCCCTACAGCCAGACTATGAGGAACCTATAGAACAGAGGCTGAAGTTACTAACATGTCTTTAACACTGCAAACCTCTATTATGAAATGAAAGCAGGAACTTTTAGCTCTAATTCATAGAAACTAAGAATCACATTTAAATTGAATTCCTGGAATGCAGGGATTCTCATTTTCTCTGGCAGGGGTAGGGTGGGGGGCGCACGTCTCTCTGTGGAGTGTTATTCCTTCTCTGATAAACTTTCCTTTTGTCCCAAATCTGGCTCATGCTTGAATTCTTTGCTGTGCGCAGTCAAGGATCTGCTCTCAGAGGGTATAGGGCTTAAGTCCCCATTCAGGGAGATTCACCCCATCCTGCATCAGGTAGAAGGAAGGCATTTCTATAGTGGTGCTAATGCTAAAGAATGTTTTTAATTTTCAATCTGGTAGTCATATCTGCTTTCTTGTTATGTTTGCATACAGTTCTTTGGGATACAATGTTGCTTTAGGTCCAATCCAAAAGTTATTTTGCCTTTTTAACATTCCGAAGGTTTGAAGAGTAAGACAAGCAAGGCAGTTCCTCTGGGATGGAAGCTCCAACTCCAATTTAAAGTGGCTCTATTTATATTATTTTTTACCATGCCAAGAAAAAAGAAGAGATGTCTTGGGGACACTCCAACATTTAGGGATCAGGAGGAAAAAGAGCAAATAAAGGAGATGCGACTGGTGCTGGGTGCTGTCCTGAAAGGCACATGTTGAATTAAAGAAGAGAGTGAACAAATGTGTGGGATACTGGAAGTTTAAGGAGGGCAACTGAGGTAGGAGTTACATCAGGACCCCTTCCCAGAACCACTAAAATGAAAAACAGCTTTGAACAATACTTTTGAGTTAGTGAAGCAGTTTTGTGGTTTAAAACTTCCCGCTAAGGCAGAAAATAAAGGGGATAGGGAAAGTCCCCAACATAGGCATGTGCAGGACAGTGGGTGTGACCTAAAATTCATCTTTGCTTCATTAAATGATCATTTAATAAATCAGCATTGCAGTTAAGGCTGTACCCATCAGGCACCTGACGCCATGACATTTCCGAAAAGCCCAAATATGGCAAGAAGAGAGGGTGTCTCCCTGATTCTAGGAAAAAAACACCTCTCCATGAAGGGGCAACCCAAATTCACGAATATTCCACCCCTCAGTTAGATTAATGGACAAAATTCTCAAACTCACAATGGACAACGCGGCAGCTCTCTCTTGAGCCTGCCCGCTCGCTCTCCCATCTGAGTGTACTTTTGCCTATACTTCAGGACTGATGGCTTTTGGCAGCCTGCTCTCCCTTCTGAGAGTAAGTGAGCTTCAAGGCTCGCTTTCAATGAAACTAGCTTGCTTACAAACTCCTGGGAGTCTGCCTTCAAGTCTTTGCCAACCGGACACAAAGAACTGAGGTCCAGGAGTTCCAGGAGTCCCCAGAACCAGTAACACGAAGACTAAAATTTTCACTGGACTTGGCAACGGAAGTATTTGGTGACTTTGTCATGAACAATTTTGCTGGCATGACAGGATAAATGAGTTAAAGGGAGAATCGGAGGCAAATAGAGACATCGAATTTACAGACTCTGTGAATGAATTTGCTGCAGTAGCTGGAGGTGGGTGGTAGGTCAAGGAAGTGTTTTATGATGTCCTTCAATCAGTGCAGGAAACAAATCAGAGATTTCTAGCATTACAGAAAACTATTCCCAGGGAAGGCCTCGTTATATAAGAAGCTCACAAAGTTAAATACCAAAACTCACAACTTCTAGCCCTGCCATATCACCAAAATTTTAAGTGACCTTTCTACGTTATTTAACTTCTCAGTATTTCAGTTTTCCCTAGAAATGGAATTACTGGGTCAGATGGTATTTTTTTTTTAGGAGCCACCATACTGGTTTCCATAGCAGCTGTACCATCTTATAATTTCAATTTCTCCACATCTGGCTAAAACTATCTTTTTTTGTAATAGCCATCTTAGTGATTTTTCTCATGGTAAGTGATCAAATGATCACTGTTATTATCATGTGTGAAAGGATTTCGATCTAAAGTGAAACCAGAGGATATGAAATGGAGACTTTCACACGGAGGTCCCCAACCTTTTTGGCACCAGGTACCGGTGCTCCCATGAGAATCTAATGCCTGATGTTCTGAAATGGAGCTGAGGTAGTGATGCTAGCGCTGGGGAGTGGCAGCAAATGCAGATGAAGCTCACTCGCCTGCCACTCACCTGCTGCTGTATGGCCCAGTTTCTAATAGGACCGATACTGGTTTGAGGCCTAGGAGTTGGGGACCCCTGCTTTCATACATCCTCAGGAAAACAAAACTTAACCAATAAACTAATTTCTGGTAAATCCCTGATTTAAGAACGAAACTTAGTTCCTACCAATGAACATCTGTCAAAAATCTCTCTCCATCCTCAAGCCAATGAATTTACTACTTGGACTCTGGTTAGTAGTCTAGTAGTACCTAGACTTCTTCACTCTTTGCATTCCTTGTTTATATTCTCCCCAAACTCTCATTAGAGTCTCATTAGCTTGTTACAGTTTGCGTTTCCAGAATTGTGATTCCTCTGCTTTTCCCAAATAAACTCACTTTCTGGTCATTTGAGCTTGTCTCAGTTTACCTCTTTATTCACGTTGACAAAGATAACAATTTCGAATTTATTTTGAAAAGAAATAGTATCTGTCAGGATCCAAACAGGAAAGCAGAAAATATTAGAAGAAATTTAATGGGGGAAATTGGTTACACAGGTTAATAGAAAGGTGGAGGAGCCAAACAGATGACAACAGCAGAAAGCCATGAATGCCTACCTATTCCAGGGATAGAGGAAAAAGAATTGTTATCAGCCCATTGGCTAGGGTCACCCAGAGGAAGCCAGTACCAAGGTCATGAGGGGAGCTGTAGTACAGCCAAAAGAAACAGATGGGGAAAATACCCTGGTTTCTTTCCCCAAGTGCCTAGGAAGCCAAGCAACAGAGGATTATGAGAAACAGCCTGCAGAAATTAGCACTGCCACCCATCCCAAATACAAAGGAGAGTAGGGAAGAAATGATCTTTTGGGGCAAATAAGTCAGACCTGTACAAGAGTAGACTGCTGTATAACTCATCTGTACCACACCTTACATTACAAAAGGACTTGCCATTATATTTAAAAGGAGTTTATAAAGTCTAGCAAAGTAGGTTTTTCAAACATCAGTTTTAGAAGCATCCACAATGCCTTTCAGGCAACTTTACTGCGCTGAAATTGACAGCTGTGTTCATTTGGTCAATACCCGTTTGTTGTGCCCCTGCAGCAACCTTTCGGATCCTAGGAAAAGAGACCCTGTTTGAGTTGCTGGCACAGCCTTAAACAAACTTTCACAACTAAGAAAGGTTAGCACTCAGAGGGAGTGAACCTAAGCTGGACACTATTAAGTAGCAGGAGATGCGGCTTGATCTGAATGTCAGTAGTTATTAGCCAGGCAGAAACCAGAGGGACAGAAGCCCTGGCAGAGTTGTGGAGGGGTATGACTTATGTGAGTAATCGCAGGATGTCTCAACACGCCTCTAAGAGCAGGGCATGTTAGAACCACTTCAGTTCTGATGGTGACTGTATGGATGAGATTATCAGTGATCTGAAAATGAATTTGGAGCCCAGGAAAGGTGAACCAAAAATATATGACAAGAGCACTACCAATAAGTCTTGGACATGGGGTTTGAAGGAGTCAAGAATATTACCAGGTTTTTGTTCAAACGGGGAACAGAAGAAAGCAAATTGGTGAGAGTGGAGTGTTAACTGTATCACTGTTAGCCTCCCCAATCTTAAGTTGCAAGTCTGAACTTTTTCAAAAATTAAATTTATTGATAATTATAGATTGGTATACAGTTTGGAGAAATAATACAGCGACCCATGGATCGTAACATCTTGTAAAACTTCAGCGCATCACAACCAGGGCACTGACATCCATAAAGTCAAGCTACATACAGTTAGGGCGCACCTTTCTGCTAGATGAGCTACTGCTGATTCATAAATTGTTTAATAAAGCCAATTAGATACTAAAGTTTAAATTAAAAAAATAAGATACCAACATTCCATCAGAGCCCCTTATGTTGCCTTTCGCAGCTGCACGGGTGCTGCGAAGACAGAAGGGCAGGGATACTCCCGCCTCTTCGGCGCCAGCCTCAGGCCCCGCCCCTTCCTCCACAACCGACCAACAGCGCGGCCCAGAAGAGCCGGAAGTGGGCGGCAGCTCTCCCTTCTCGCAGCCCCTTGGCCCAAGATGGCAGACCTCCACCGCCAGCTGCAGGAGTACCTGGCACAGGGAAAAGCGGGGGGGCCAGCGGCGGCCGCTGTGCCGCTACTTGCCGCGGGAGAGGCGGAGGAGCCCAAGGCGGGGAACGGGCCGGCAGGGGCGTGGCCGGGCCGCGCGGGCATGCGCTGGACGTGGGCGCGGAGCACCGAAGAGCCGATGACGCGTTCGGCGTGCTTGCCGAGCGTGACACGCTCGCAGCAGCTGGCGGCGAGCGGCGTGTGTCTGCTGCTGGCCACGCTCTGCTTCGGCCTGGCCGCACTCTACGCGCCTGCACTACTGCTGCGCGCCCGCAAGTTCGCGCTGCTCTGGTCGCTGGGCTCGGCGCTGGCGCTGGCAGGCGGGACACTGCTGCGGGGCGGCGCGGCGTGCGGGCGTCTGCTGCGCGGTGAAGAGGCGCCGTCGCGGCCCGCGCTGCTGTACGTGGTGGCGCTGGGCGCTACGCTGTACGCGGCTCTGGGCCTGCGCAGCACGTTGCTCACGGCGCTGGGCGCCTGCGCGCAGGTGGCCGCGCTGTTGACCGTGTTGTTTGGCTGGCTGCCGCCAGGCACAAACACCGCGCTACGCCTAGCCCTCGGGCGCCTGAGCCCCGGCGCGGGCCTCGCCAAGGTGCTGCCCGTCTGAGAAGCCTGGGGACGCGGCGCCAGCGAAGGACGCGAGGTCAGCGACTGGGACGCGCTGTCGCGTGAGACGAGGGGCCAGCGCTCGCCGAACCAAGGACTGCAGCTTCCCATACCGCACAGGCCCGGGACTCCTTTACTGTGCCAGCGAGTCTGTAAACTGGGAGCGGTTATAAAAAAGACAAAAGCAATTTTGGAAGATCCTCAATTACGAGTACATGTTATGTACTCGGCAGCTTGTGCACTGCAAACGAGATTAGGTCGTTTGAGTTGGTGATATGCTCTAAACATTTATGACATTGCTTGTGCGTCTTTGAGCTCAGTAAAAAAAAAAAAATCGGATTTAATTAGCTGCCCTTGTGACTTTTCTCAGATTTCGTGTTTACCTCTTATTTTTAAAAATCCGGTTGTAGATTGTAGTTTATCTATGATAAGCTTATTTTTTCTTTTTCCCTTTGGCTCTTGGAAATGATTTTCCCTCATTCTTCAGTGTGAGTGCAGCCATACGGGTATCGGGTTAAAAGTTTAGCCACCGGATTTTTAAAAAGTACTTTAGTTAAAACAGTTTACCTCAGGTTTTTACTGAAATTATAAATACGGTGCCTTACAAGGAAAATTGGTTCTGTATGGACAAAAGCGATGGACCAAAAAGAACATGCCCTGCCCAAAGAAATATGGTATCCAGTAAGGTGCATGTAAGTGCTTTGAGAGGTCCCCGAGCAGAAGTGGGCTAGGAGACCCTAGGGAGAAAGGAAGATAATTCTGCATCCGGAGTTCCTATCTATGTTTGATGGGAACCATGGATTTCTAAAAGGTCTAATAGTGTAATTACTAACTGTATGATTTTTTAAATTAATTTAGATTTTATAGGCCAATCCTAATGCAAATATAAGATGCTTTTCATATCTAATTGCCGATTTTCCTCCTCTTAGGTTCAGTACTTGTCTGTGATTTTATTGCACACCTTTATTGGCAGAAAGTGTGGGCTTAATATTCTTATGAGTCCAAAAACTACAGGTTTTGTCACTAGCTATATATTAACTAGAAAATAAAATGTAATTTTAAAATTCTATTTCTGTGGTTCTCATATTACATCAGAATTACTTGAAGAGCCAAACCTCAGATCAGTTCCATCAGAATCTCTAAGGGCTGGGACCCAGGTATGAATATTTTTCTTTAGAGCTCTCCAGATGATTCCATGTTCACCTAAGGTTAAAAACCACTTTTCTGTGCATTGGATTTAACAGTTTGAAATTTTTTCTGGGGCTGGATTCCAGTGTTGCCTAAACAAGTGTGTCAGGCAGCAGTAGAGCATTGCCTTATCATCCAGCCTCAAAATTTTTAATCTTAGGTCCTGATGAGTGTCCTAAGCCCTGCCTCATCAAGTGACACTAAAGTGACTGACATCCACTGTGGTCTTACAGGCTACTTCACGTGCCTCTTCCACAGTGTTCTCTGAGGGTTACCCACCTCAAGAGGAACAACCAACCGGGTGTTTGTAAGAGCAGATGCAGTTTTCCAGGGAGTATTTTTTTTTTTCAACTGGAAAACTTGTGCCATTGCCTGCTCTTCTACCCCCTAGTTAAATCTGTTCTATATTTCTTTAGAATTTTCACAGCTGATGACTTTACAGTTTTTATCACATTCTTATGTTGATGCTATTAGTTCTAAAAATTATTTTCCCAACATTTTCTCAAGAATTCAAATGCTGAAAGTCAAGTTTTTATAAAATTCAAAGCACAATATTTTGTATTTTGACGGCGGTGTTTTAAAATGCCTATATATATATATATATCCTAAGTATTTCATAATATATAGATTTCAGGTTTTTCTAAGTGAATTCATTCTCAAAATGTGATCTGGTTATCTGCTTACTGAGGTACTGTGTTGTAAAATTAAAGCCTAAAATGTTAAGATGATAAATGTCTACCAATCTCAGAAAAAGGAGCCTAATCTCGATAGGGGTTTGGTCTCTGGATCCCGTTTCAGCTTCTCAGAATTTGATTACAACTTCTTTTTAAGCTATACCAGTGGAGAGCAAATAAAGAATATCCACAAACCTAAAGTAATCTTGAGCCTCCTAATCGTATTTACAGTGAGGTGCTGATAAATGTTTTTAATTTCAAAATAAATTGAAAATTATTCACATAGCTGAATAATTGTCCAGGTTCTAATACCCTAATAACCTAAAATGCAATGTGAGTGGTTGCCATTTTTTCATTCTGAACAAATAACAGCTTTTGTCATTGTTTACATTAATAGAGAACCAGTTAACGTTTTTATATACTGTCCAACTATGTCAGTATCCCTTTTCTCAGCAACTACTGAGACAAGCACCACTAACTTGGCAAGCAAACTTGTCTAATGCAAAACTGAAGCTGGTGATGTAATGAGATATTGGGGCTGCCCTTTAAATAAAAGCTTTCTTACAAAAACAAAGTAAGGATTAGTATGGAAAGTATCATGGAGTTATCACAAACTTAACTTTTGGCACCCACTCTAAATGGCCTAATGTTATATTTAAAACTAAGGGAATTTGTCGACACGAAATTCCTGGCTTACTTTGTTAGAGCCTATCCTATGCCTTAAACGTTATTTCCAAATAACTAGTATGGAAGTAAAAGAATTAGGTTTTGCAAAATTGTTTTAGATATTTTGGTTTGTTCCTTTTCAACTTATACAATTTGTGAAATGATTTACAGTAATCAAAGGGTACCTGTAGTTAATTCCTGGCTTACATCAAATTCCTCCTCAGAAACAAGGCAATTAAATATAAGATGTGATTGATTACTAGCAGATGCACTCAAGGGAGAACCCTTATTTGGATAAACAGAATTTTTTTCTTCAGAGTCTAATTTTCCATCTACACATCTAAGGCTTTGAACTTACTTTAAACTATGTTATAGTTTTAAGTTATTTCTCATTACAAAAATAAGTTTAACAATGGCTGGATGAGAATTTGTTTAAAAACAAAAAGTTCACGGATGAAAATTAATTTAGATGACTTAGGGATTCTCATCAAGTATGCTCACAAGTATAACCACTAATTATATGCCCCTCAGCAGACGATGCAATGGAAACGACGCAAAGGGTTTCCTTAAGGTAAGCACTTCACAACTAGTTGTTTTCTGTTAATTCTTGCGTAAATCACACTCTGTATTCATACAAAAACAACTTAATGTTTTTTCTCTGACAAACTGTACATATAGAAACAATTCCAATTGGACATGAACTTAAATTTGTGGAGGGGCTCCTTGTCTCATGACGCTTAAAAAAAAGATTCCAGCTTTTATCTTCACAAAACAATGTGGGAATTAGGGCAGTGAGGATGGACAGGACAAAACAAATCCAGCTGCTCTAGGTAGCCAGCAGCAGTCTCTTCATCTTGAAGACCTCAGGGGCTCCTGGGATTCAGCTGCTCCAGAAAAAGAGTTCAGGGCTACGTGGTGCAGGCTTCCTTTTGTTTCTCTTAATAAGTCCACAAGAAGTTCTTAAATACTGTCCAGAAAGGCTGAGAGGTACTCAACCCCAACTTCTACCGACCCCTTCCACCACCCCTTGAAGCTCCTCGCCTTGGTGGGCCAGAGTTCATGTTACTCCCTCTACCCCAGTTACTGCCACTCCGGACCCCCCTAGAAGGGGTACCACTGCCTGGAGGGCCCCCAAAAGGTTCATCTCTGTGGTATCCATCGTGGTGATCTCCATCCAAGGAGCTGGAACGCCCGGATTTTGGCACTCTTTGGGAAGGTCCTGGGCCCCCTCGGCCTGAAATGAAACATTGATTTCACATGTGACTTCTATACCAGACTCCTGCTACAAACTTTTACTCTGATGACAATACTTCTGATTCTCTTTAAAAACAGTTTGGAAGACATTCATATTTAGAGCGTTAAAAGTTATGCCTTCACCCTCTTCTTGACCACTGTCTCTTTCCCATCCAGGCTTGATGCCTCTCTGCATCAACTAGACACATGTTCCTCAAGGGCTGTGACAGAGACAATGGTAAATTGAGAAACATGGAGCATCTTCTGGGTGTCACAGACACACTGGGCCATGTCTCTATAGGAAGTTTAACTTCAGCCTCCTATGCCACCAGGGGTATTCTGGGGTGAGGTCTGAAAAGCACTGACTTAACTTTGGAGGCAACTGTGATGATGTGAACTACAAGTGTTCCAACTAGGATAAGTGTTTACTATGATTATCCCATAATTATGTAGCACTTTTGATCTTTTAAATAGTGAAATAAAATATTTCCTGTAAAGCAAAAGCATAAAAAGAAAAACACTAGCTTTTAGAATGATTTCTCCCAGGGATAGTTTTATTTGTTCCAGACTTAGACACACAAACCTTTAGGTATTAACATTCCAACTTTTAAATTTTCTTATGAGATCCTATCAGAAGATTATTGACAACTTCTGTCTTAAATTTTTAAATGGAATTGAATCCAGTTAAGACAAAGGGGTTAGGAAAGCTAGGCAAAGGAATAATTTTGGCTTCTGACAAAGCACAGCATCAGCCCACAGGAGGTGCCTGGGCAGAGAAGTTATCAGCTAGGGCATCATTTCCACACTAGCCATGTGACCTTGGCCAGGGCCTACAAAGGTGTCCTGAGTACCCATACAGACCAGTAACAAAATGTGTGGGTGGGGAGATCTACTGGTGACATGAGGTAATTTATGAGAGTTTTGCTCTGAGAAGAACCAAAGAACTATCAAGAACAAAGGCCAGAACTCTGTCATGGTGGCAGGTTAACTGGGGAGTGGAGCACAAGTTGGGGCACACAGGCAATCTTTCCAGCAGCCTCCAGAACACACCACATATGCAATAGCCCAGCCTAAACTGAGACCAGAATTGTAGTTAGCACTTGGTGCTTACTGCCCTTGGCTAAAAGTTAGTGCTGCCTCTAAAATAAAGATCCAAAGTTTCAATCTGCTGCCCACCCCACCCCGAACACAACCCCTTCCAGATCATGTTCCCCAAAGTCTTTGTGACTATGGGCACAAGCAGTGTTCCTTCCGGGCTCAGGCTAAAAAACCCCAGCACCTGGGAGAGGATAATTCCTTTGGCCACTGAGGACACCCTCCAGGGCTCAGAGTAGCCATCGGTGGAGAGCACACTTGCCAGTTAGAGCAGGAGTCTCACAGAAAAGCACCATCAGCAGAGACAGTGCTAGGCACCCTGACAAATAGCTGAACTGGAACAAAGCAGAAATTCTTTGAAAGCAAGAGGAGAGTTGTACAGAAGCTGAGCTTGCAGTCCCCTGAGAGAGCTACAACTGGCTGTGCGGTGAGCCCAAGCTAATTTCATTTGTACCACATTTGGGAACACGTGCCTTTCCAAAACTTAAGCCCTAGAGGTAGACTGGAGAAAGGACTCTCGGTACCCTGGCAGGGGACAGATGGAACGGGCATATCCTGTGGTGGGGCTGGCCTGGAGATGAGGCCTCTGATGGCCCCTGTAGCCTTCCTGGCAGGGCTGTGACATCCACGGCTCCAGGAAATACAATTACTGGCCTCCACTTACCTTTGCCTCCTCGATCCTCAGAAGGAACCCCTGGGGCTTCCATTTCTCTGTGCTCAGAGGTCCCTGGCCCATCATGCCAGGGGCGTTTTCGGGGTGGCAGGGATGCCATGTCCATGCCTTGAAGAGAAGAAGAACGTTCTCTGCTGGCCGGGGAATGACCGTCGTGAGGGGGATGATCAGGGCGGGGAGCATCACGGAAATGTTCATGACCTGGCCCTGAAACAGAAACACAGATCGACAAGGCTAAGAATCTATCTCATTATATTAAAGTACAGCATGACCAACAGAAGAGAGAAATTATACTGTTAAGAATAATTAGCAACTTGAGAACCAACACTCATTCATGCAAGAAACATTCGCTGAATACCCACCAGGTATAAGTCACATCAGTACACAAAAAAGGTCAAGATTAGAAATCAACATACCTTCTAAAATAAGAAGAAAATATGGTCCAGAAAAGTGGATCTCAAACTTTTTAGTCTCAGGACATCTTTATACTCTTGAAAATTACTGAACCCCAAAGGGATTCCATTTATGAGAATTATATCTAATAATATTTGCCATGTTAGCAATTAAGGCTGAGAAAATATTGAATCATTTAACTACATTTTCTAAAAGCAAAACAATTTAGTGAAAAGAATGCTATTGTTTTATATTTAGACAAATTCCTTTAATGTCTGGTTCAATAAATGAAAGCTGGATTGTCTCATTTGTTTCTGCTTTCAATCTCCTGTGATAGAATGCTGTTGATTGAAGGATATGAAGACAATCTAGCCTACCATGGAGCTGTGAGTTGGAAAAAAGAGCCTGAGATCCCAGAGATCCTCTGACCACACCCTTGTGAACTGCTGGTCTCAAGTTACCATAAGCCACGGGCAATTCTTCCTTACCGGGCTCTCTATTTCCATCCCAGGACTCTGGTTTCCGTCCTCCTTCAAAGCGAGGGAACTCATCAGGAGTGGGAAGTAAACCCTTCCTTCCCCCTACACAATGGAACAAAACAACATCACACTCACAGACTATTTCAGGTATATCTTCAACCACCTACCTCTCCACCCCTGGCCTTCTGAGAGCCAGTTTCCTCAGCGCACGCTCACCTCGTGGGGCACCCCGGCCTCGTCCCCGGAGATCTCTTCCTCGGGCAGCTTCATCAGCCGCATCAAAACTCTCCTCTGGACCAAAGTCTTCAGGACCAGGAAAACCATCCCTTCCTCTTGGGGGAGCACGTCCCTCATGTCTTGGTGGGGCTCCCCTTCTGAAGCTGTCAGGACAAAAGACCAGAATGTCCACCTAATGGAACACCTTACAGCTCTCAGCTCACATTTCAAAGAAACATCATTATACGACAAAATATGACCCAATATTCAACCGGAGAAAAACTAAGTAAAATTATGTATTTTTTAAAGTACACATTTTACGATCCCAATATTACAAGCAAAAACAGGCAGAAAGTAAACATATCAGAATGTAGGATCATTTTGATGTTCTTTTAGGCTTTTAATAATAATAGCAGTGAGCATTTTTTAAGTGCTTATATCATGC